TCAAGGGAAAGTTTTGGGCAAACTAGAAAACCCAGAAGAGACATTGGATAGTTGAATGCAGAGAAGACAAATGCATTAGTTAATGTTGAAGATTTACCTCAATGTGGACAGTGAGAAGAGTTGCAAGGGAAGCTCCAGATATATAGGGCCTTAAAACTAAAGGATTTGAGGGATTTTAAGTCTTGAAAAGTGGGTCAAAGGAAAATGAAAATGCACATCACTGTCAATGGCACAACAGCAAGAAAACAAATACTACAAACTGCATTAAAAAGCTTATACAGTAAACTAAAAAAAATAAAGTTAGTAGCTTTCAGTAGAAAGAAAATGAAAACAGGAGATTCAAAGTAAGAAGCGCTATAGAGTACTTACCAACAATGCCAATGTCAATGCCAAAGAAGGAACTCAACTTGAAAAAATATATACAAAGAAAGAGTTTTTAGAGATGAATATTATTACGCATATATACCATTTTAAAAATTATTTACTAAAATAATACCCTCTCAATATTATTGATCAAAATAATATTCATTTTGTAGATTCTAATTCATAATCATAATCACTAAATAAGAAAGAAAGGGAAGTGGCATGATCTATCTAAAGAAGGCAGCGACTTCATCTCTACTCAATCATGCATATGAAGATTATAATTTCAAACCTATATATCATTCTCCATCATCATATCATTCATCATTAGTTATAAGTCCCATCACAATATTCGATCATTTACTCCTAATTAAACATTCTTTAATATTACTAGAGGTTAAGAGTATGGTGATTTTACCGAAATATCACCGCACAATTAATAATTACCTTTCAGACACTCTTTCTTCTAATATTACCGATCTAACACCCATTTTGACAAAGTGCGGATCGTCATCTACGCCTTCGCGGGTTTCTGTTCGAGCTGATGCCACGTCAAGAAAGCTGTGGATCGTCATTCGTGCCTTATCTGAGCGGCGCCACATCAAATGAAGTGCGGATCATCATCCGTGCCTTAGCGGGATTTCTGACACGTACATAAGGCGCAGATAATGATCCACCCCTTTCCTTTAATACCCCAACCGTCTACCTCTCACATTTATGGAAAACCCTTCTACCCCTCCCATCTTCCTATAAATACTCCATCCCCTCTTCCCCAAAACATAACCTCCAAACCACAATCAAATCTCAAATTCTCTCATTCTTTCGAGTATTAATCTTTCTATTAATAAGCTAAAATATTTTTAATGTAATAAATCAATAATTTATTGTTTTATTAAATTTTATTATACTACATTTTTATTAATTTTTGCAGTTATAAAATTAAATGTGGTTTGTTACGTTTAGATAATAATCATATCTTAAGACATTTTGCCAATACGGTAACAATTTTAAATTCTATTGTAATGTTAATTTTTGTTAATGTTTTATTTAATTAATTTGTTTAGTATTAATTTATATTTTAATTTATATAATATTTATTAAATTAAGAGAAATACCGTATATTATATCCATTCATTCGTAACCTTAAGTTAGAGATACCTACTCATGTATGACCATATTTAGTCGAGGCTGGATTTAGACATAACAAAATATGAAGGGCATTGTAACCTTGAATCCAACCTTATTTCTGCATTGGTTGAGAGGTGGAGATTAGAGACACACACATTCCATCTTCCACGTTAAGAGTGCACAATTACACTAGATGATGTTTTTATGCATTTGGGGATTCCAGTAGATGGAGATGTGATTTTTGGGGTGGCATATGATAATTGTCATTCCTTGTGCGAGGAGTATCTTGTAAGTGTCCCGCCTAATTTTAACGGTGGTTGAATACCGTTAAATTGGTTGGATATAACTTACAAACATTTGAGTAACGACGCCTTCGAGGAACATGTTAAAATGTTTGCACGGTCTTGCATATTACAACTCATAGGACAAATCCTGATGCCCGACAAATCGCGCAACCAAGTTCATTGTATGTGATTGCGTCACCTCGATATTTTCATTATGTTAGCATACTCAGTTGTGGCTCCGTAGTTTTGACATTTCTGCATAGGGAAATGTGTCGTGCTACTGACTATCGAAAAAATGCTATCAACTTATGTCTCTTTCTTCTCCAATCTTGGGTGTGGTATCGCATGCCCTTTTTTATGTTCGGTGGTGAAAAACTTGTTGGTCTTCCCGCTATTATTGAGGTAATTTCAATACTGATTTCATATAAAATAATTTTATTGAGTATATAATGAATATTATTTCATTGAATAGTTGGTCAGGTGCAAGAAAAGATCATTAGGATTTACCTGATAAATTGGAAGAAATTAGGGTACTCCAAAAAAGTCGGTAGAATTAACATCGATCGTGAAGAACTCGATCATTGTGGTATGCATGACAAGTTTCGATATCGACAATTATCCCAGGATTCAATCTGCACACTACCCTAAACCAACTTGGTAGTTCATTGTAAGATGCATCCTATTCGCCGTGAAGTTTTTTAATTGCATTCTACTTTGCCTTCCATGTTTTCCTGTATGAGACGGTATACTCAGATTGTATAGCTGAAATTAGCATCGCAATAGCTATATGGGAGCTTGCTTTTACCATAGGCATGATGACTTAGGAGATAGTTGGAGTCTAAGTTGGGATAATCTTGGTTGATCCATCTAGCACAACATGTGTGAGGACGTTGTATATCATTACTTCTCATGTATTGTTTTTCCTATTCCTCTTCGATACGTGAACCATCCAATTGCATATGTTATCATGTTAGACACAGTGGCAGACATACTTTTCGGTAGTGGAACGGTTGACTCTGGATTGAACATAATTACGAATGTAATAACTCTTAATTGTTATCATCGCTTTTTCTTTGTATGAAAATTCTATTCTTTTATATAACTCACTGGATACGTTAAATCCGTAGTCACCAACATTAGGCATATCCACAAATTTTGGCATGTACGTTGCACCATAGTGAGCTTCATACATGTGTGTTGGAGGCTCAGTGTGTACCTTATTTGTGTGAACTTCATCTACATCATCATCATCGGAGTCCATGTTGAACTGCTGTGATTCTAGCTGAATGAATAGTCCAGTCTCGGAATCATCTGTACCTGGCTCACGAAGAGGTTCTTTTGGTATCGACGTCTGAATATTGATATTGAGAATCAACCATCATAGCAGCATCGTCATCGTTGGATAGTTCGAACGTTGTATAAGTTAACAAAAATACCGCTGTTGGAAATCTGTACTGAAGTGAAGATAATCTTCTAGTACTTCTAACATGAACCTTCCTTGAAATTTTCGTTATCAGCTCTTCAAGAGTTATGTTTCTCTTGAAGGATATTCTGACAGAATGATTTGATACGAATATGATGTCGGTTTTATCTTTTTGAATTTCTCCGTCATAGTAAACAATAGTTGAAATATGTGTTATTCTGAGAGTTTGAAAGATTGAAAGTTTTATATATGCAAAAACAATAGCTGAAATACGCCTAATTAAAATAAATAGTATATGAATTAAAATATAAACTAATAAAAAAATTTAAGAATTTTCACAATAATTTAAATAACATACTTTTATATTGTTATCATATCGACAAAAATGTCTCAAAGTATAATCTCACTTTCTAATTTTACAATCGTAAAAAATAATACAAAATAATTAGTACAATAAAATTTATTTAAATAATCATATATACAATAAATAAGAAGGGGTGATGTGGTGATGTTTGCATAGAGGGGTTCTTATTTATAAGGGAGGGGGAGGGTTTAAAAGGCGAGCTGCTCGGTTAATACCAATAATGGAAGGCACATATTATTATCCGCGTCTTACGTATATGTCAGAAACCCCGCGAAAGCGTGGATGGTGATCTGCGCCTTTCTTAACTTGGCGTCAGCTCAGACAAAACCTTGCAACAAAAAGGGTACTAGATCGATAATATTAGGAAAAGAGTGTCTGACAAGTAATTATTCACTGTACATGTGATATTTTGGTAAAATCGCCTAAGAGTAGACTTATTCATATATTAGATGAATTATTAGATATGATTAATGTGATTTAAGAATAGTCATGGGTTGAATTCGGTTGAGTTTTTGATCCATTTGAACTCGAACTAAATATAATATCTCTTCATCTGTCATTTGATTTGATTCGAATTTAGATAAACTTCACTTTTTAAGCAAAATCTCTCTACACACATTTTTTTAGGTAAAATAAACACTTAATTTAAAAAAAATATAGAGAGAGTCAAAAATCAAGTATTTTTTATCCTAAAATTAAATTTAATAATTTTTTTTAAAAAATCTAATTTTGTAGTATCGAAACGAGCGAAAATTTATGGAAATTGAATAAAATATTCTCATCTGTAATTTGGATTAAATATAGATAGCATATTATGAATTCGGATGAAAGTAGCTTTTATGGGATGGGTCCATGATGATTTTGCCTCCCACAACACTCTACTTCGCATAAGTCGTTAATGAAAGTGGCAGTCAGGTAGGTTCATCATCTTGTAAAAATAAAGCGGTCTCTGTTTAGTTGGGGCGGAACCATGACATTTGGGCAGCTTAATAAGGTTGAATCCACCAAGTAAATTTAGGTTTAGAGAGATACAATGTTTCACATCACTTGTAAAGTGAACCGAAAGGAGCTTTGAACAACATCTTGTTTAAAAGGCAGAATTGATGTGTTGCCAACCTGTGGAGCCAAAGCCGATTCTGGCGGCACTTGTAATTATTCGACAAGTGTCGAATATAAAATTTTAATTATCTTCGTGTCTTATCAAATTAAAAAGGATATTTATGTTAAGTCCAAACGAATTAGATAGAGACTTCAATCTGTAGGTTTAGTACCTTTGATTTGGTGCCCCAATTAGTAAGCTAAATGAAGGATTTGTATACCATATTGATACTGTTGAGGTTCAGTATGAACCAAGTTTAGGGACTAATTTAAGATTTGACCCATAGTTTAGTGAAGCTTACCGTAATTAACTCAAAGAAAAATTAAGACTTTTACTTTTAGAGTGAGTTAAAGGCTAAATCGCATACCGGAACAGAAAGAAGACGAAGACGATAAATATGTCTTCTTCTGGTATAGTATCGGACTTTGAAGCCGCGTCGAATTCAGCCGTTTCTTCCGCCGCCTCCGGCGTGCAAGTCACTACCTTTACGGAGCTCGTCGATGAAGTGCCCCTCCACTTTCAGATCATTCGCCTCACCAACCAGGTCTTCAATTTCTTCATTTATTTAATATTAATCTCACGAATTTACATATTGGGGAATTTATATGCCGCTGCTCCTACACGACCCGTAAGTTTTTTTTTTTTCTCTTAAATTCATTAATTTGTTATCATTGATTATGATATGAATTTAGTATTGTTGCTAAAAGAAAAAAGATTCATGGTAATAATAGAATAATACGGTGAGCGTGACTTCAATTCTTGGAGGTGCTTCAGATAAGACTGCTTCTGGAATTACTCGACGATTAGGTCAGTTTTCTTCGATTTTGCTTACATTTTTAATACTAATATTTTGGTCTAATTAAGGTTTTAGTCCTTCTACACTGCTAAATTTTGATATACTCTAAAATGACGTAATTTGGTCCTCTAGTACTTTAAACTTTAAATTGATACCACTTCTAGTTAGTTGTCGCTGTTAGAATGACGAGTTAGGTAAATTTTAAAGTGTAAAGTATACAAATGATCGCTAAACTATGTTGAAACTATCTTCTTGGATATTGGAGTTTCATAAGTTACAAAATGATCATTAAACTTACCAAACTATTACAAAATGGCCGTTAAAACTGATCAAACTGTTACAAAATGGTCTTTAAACTTATCGAATTTTATCACTATTTTATAACGTATAGTGACCATTTTATAAGAGTTCGATAAGTTTGATGATCATGTTGTAACTTTCGAAACTTCAATGACTAAAAGGATCATTTTAACATCGTTTATTTACCAGTTGTGCACTTTACCCAATTTTCACTTATCGTTATTCAGTGACTTAAAAGTGTCACACACGCAAATCCAATCAAACTTTTTCAACCAATAGTAAACTTGTTTGTTACTTGTTAGTCGTATTTTTTTAAAAAAAAATCCTACATTATCCATTTAACGGTAACAACTAATAGTGTTTTTAAGGAGCAGGACTTTTGGCATTTTCGAGCTACTGTAAATGTAAGTTGGAGTATCAGCAGAATCTTAAAAACAAGGGTTGAAGCTTTTCCAATTTTTTCAGCTGGTTCACCGCATATTAGAGAAATTTGGGATTTGGTTCGATTCAAAGGGCAAAATGTTTCATGGCATAAACTTATTTGGTTTCCATTGCATATTCCAAAGTTTAGCTTGATAACTTGGATGGCATTACTGAACAAATTGCCTACTAGAGACCGCCTACTTCGAATGGAAATTACCACAGACAGTCTTTGTGTTAATTGTTGCAACTCTTACGAGACAAGGGACCATCTCTTTTCGCAATGTTCTCTAGCAGTGGAACTCTGGTATTCAATTTTGAATCTTAATGGGATGAAGATCACTTACTTATCATGGGATGAAATGGTTTCAAAGGCATGTTCATCATGGAAAGGGAAGTCTTATTACTTCCATCTTGAAAATTCCTGGACTGCTTTTATTACTCTCTGTGGCAAGAAAGAAACCAGAGAATATTCCAAGGACGTCGTTAGAACGATTGATTGCTTGCTCAAAGATGTTAAAGACGTTGTTGGAATCGCCTTAGGGGAACAAATATTATAGACTAGATAGTACAACCTAATACTTGCAATGCTTGGGGTATAGTCTAACCAATCATTTTGTAGGCTGTAATTTTGATTCTTTCATTGTTGATTGGTGGATGGTTGTAACTAAACCTTGATTTGGGTAATAAAATCAGAATTATCCAAAAAAAAAATAGTGTTATCAATTTGGATCTATTAATAACGTTAGTAAAATATCGATTAAATCCTAAATTTCAACATAATAGGACTAAAATTATGATTAGATTTCTTTTATCCTCTCTTTCTGGCCTGAACTAGAAGCAAATTGATTGGGCTGCAGTGCTAAAGACTGGACTTAATATAGTTGTGGCGTGTAATATCCCAAAGAATAACCCAATGATTGAGGTTTGGATTTTAATTCAGCTGTATCTGATAGGTTGATCTTTGTGCTCATATTACCATTTCGTTCCCTCTTATTATTTCCAGGCAAATGCTGGAAAGAAGTTGATAGAGAAGCTAATTTCCATGGGCTACTCGAGGATGAAACCCGGATTCCCGAGGCCAGAGTTGCCGTCCTCGTAGTTGCATTTGATAAGCAATTAGATCAAACATGCCCTCTTAATGGTGAATGTAGTTTGCATTGTACCAGTAAGCAATTAGACGATACA